TTTTTTAAAAATCGCCTATTTGACTCAAAATAACGCACAGGTGCTCAAAATAACGCACAAGTGTGCGTTATTACGCGAAAATACGGTTCATATATAAGGATACGTCATAGGAATTTTTCAAATACCGTAACATATGAAAATTTTTTATGAAATTGTTCTATTTTTCTATGAAGTTTTTTTATTCGTAGAGATCTATTCAAGAATCTATTTTATATGCCTAAATTTTGGGTAAAAAATCCCACGTCCAATTGTTTCTATAAAATTTTAACGGCACTCACTCTATTATCGCAATTTGGCACAGTAATCGCATGAAAGGCTTATCTACTAGGCGAATATTTCATTAAAATGAATTTTGTTGCTTCCCTTAATTTTTGAATTTTAGGTAAAATTTCATCTAATTCCGGACGTTTTTTCGGATCAGTATTCCAACATTTCTTATAAATTTTTGCATATCTTGAAGGTGTGCCGGGAATCGTTTTCTCTCGTCTGCCTTGTGAAATACTTAAATGTAAAGATGCCTTATTATAAACTGTAAAAAAAGGTCGAATTCCACTAGTAAGCTCCCATAATATTACTCCAAGACTATATATGTCTGATTTAAGATTTGGTGCGATCTTCTTACTATCGATAAAAAATTGGGGATCAGTGTATTCAAGAGTAAAGTTTTTTCCATATATAGATATTAAACTGTCATCAAGTTTTGTTGCTGATCCAAAATCTGCTATTAAGACTCTATTGAATTCGGCTTTATCATTTAGTATTACCAGAATATTATTAGGATTCTAAAAATTAGATCTTAATTAGAAATTGACTTCAAACTAGCCAAATAAAATTACTTAAACTGACACTTACCAAATCTCCATGAACAATGTTATAATTATGCAAATATTTTAACCCGAAAATAATTTGTTCCACAATTTGGATAAGTTCTGCCCACGAAATTTTAAAAATGTTTTCATGAATTTTATTGTTTAGATATTCTCGTAAGGTCCCGCCGTTTGCATATTGTAATACTATCTTATAATTATTTGTTTCGGAATTCTTGCGACATCCAGAATCTTAATTAAATAATGTTATTTACAATTTATATATGAATTAATTTTAAGCCAAAAGTTATTTCTTACCGGTAATTCCTAAAAATCTTATAACGTTTTCATTATTGTTAACTGTCATGTGTTGTTTTAGCTATATAATACCGGAACATTATTTTTAGCGATGACGAGTGAAATCAGATACTATTAAGGGACTAAGGAGTTCATGTTACCTCATTAACAATTGTTCTGATATCGGTATGTATGAGTTCTTTAACTGCAATCTTTGTTCCACCGTATTCAGCAGAATAAACAGTACTATGACCACCTTTAATTTATT